CTTTCTTACCCTCTCTTCCCTTAGCCTTAAGAACCGAGGAATCTCTCATATTGTGCCCTTCCTTACCACACCCATAGCAACCATCCATGCAGGCTAGGCATTTACTCAAATGATTTCTCCCACAGTTGGTGCAACTAGGTTTAGGATATGAAGAGTCTTGGCCGGAATACCTTGGTTTAGTCCGAAGCCTTCCTTGCCCATTGGACTTAGGATTAGGAAAGTTCCCATCATCAGATCTAGCTCTTTTCCCCTCCCTATTCACTTTCTTAAGTTTTTCCTCTTCAATTTGTTGAGCATGCACCATGAGACTGGACATATTCATACAAGGGATAAGCATTACCGAACGACATTCATTGACCACTAAATCGGACACTCCCATCAAAAACTTATTCATTTTGGCCCTTGAATCCCCCTCTTTGGTTGAAGCATATTTGGATAGTTGGGTGAACTTAAGGGAATACTCCTTCACCCTCATACCCCCTTGGTTAAGATTTATGAATTCTTGCATTTTTATCCCTCAACTCTAGGGGAAAGAACCTATCAAGTAATTCCGTTTTGAAATCTTCCCACTCTATTGGGGTATCTCCTATAGGTCTACTATCCTACCATTGCTCATGCCATGTTTGTGCTACTTCCATCAATCGGTTTGCGGCTAGATCCACTTTCTCTACCGAAGTCAAGCCCATGATGGCAAGCACGTTATACACCTTATCTACAAAAGCTTGAGGGTCTTCCTCCACCTTGGAGCCATAGAACTCAGGAGGGTTCATCCTCAAAAACTCTCTCACCCTAGAAGAAGCCATCCCCCTTATCGGGTTAGCCGGAGCCACCACCACTCTATTGGCTTGCGCCGTCAAGGCTTGAGGCAATAGGTTCATAGAAGCCCTAAACTATTCAAGAGTGGAATTCCTAATTGGAGGGTCATTTGGAAATTGAGAAGGAGCTTGATGTGGAACTTGGGGAGGAATCTCTTGATCCCCATTGTCTTCTCCTTCTCTCCTAGCATTAGCCCTAGTATTTGACATAACCTAAAAAATCATATGCAAACATTAGAAGAAGGACCTACTAGAGCTAAACTCCTATGACACAATTAAAGAATGAATAAGTGAGATTTTTCTTAAGGATCCAATTGCCTCCTATTTATAAAATGTGTTGTGACTCACATCCATGAATAAGACTCTCTTTAGACGTGGTTTGAGACATCCTAAATTTTTTCCCAAAACATGGCTCTGATTCCAAGTTTGTCACGACCCTAGAGCACCCCCTAGTGGTAACATGGCGTAGTTGACCCCAAAGGGATCACATACAAGCCTTTAGCACATTCTTAACATAAGATAGTAGAAAATTAAGGAAAAATTGAAAACTTTTACAATCAAAGTCTTATTTCATAAAGCAAGTGGAAGTCTTACTAAAACCTTTGTCTCAAACCATCTATTTAAGATCATGAATAAAAGTTTTTGGGACGCAGACCATACAAAGTCTAAAAAGATAAATAAATGACATAAGGAAATAAAGGGTTCGTCCTCGAAGCTATGAGTACTCACCAATTCTTCAATTCTTCTAAATCCTTGAAACTCTAGCCTCCAAAGCAACTCAAGCCTCCAACCCCACATTTGGTTAGAATGTAGGCAATATGCGTTAGTATAAAACGTACTAAGTATGAAAGAAAACACAACATCATAAGAGCATATCAAATGGTTAGTCAACATAAGTCATAAGCAAAAGAGACAATAACATTATCGCAATATCATCATTATAGTCAGAGCATGGTCTCTAATATAAGCATCATATAAACACAAGTCACATAAGATATATTTAATGAGCATCGGAGATACATCATATTAATAGCCTAGCCTTTAATATGACTTTCATGGTTACACACTTCAACCTTAAGTCCTTCATATTACAAGAGCACCACTTCACAAGCCACCTCCAAGAATACTTGTGCAATGCAAGGATAGCATCCCATACTACCATCCAACATAATTACCTCCCTTTGGTCATTCTTGGGCATAATCTACCTTCATACTCAAGACTTAGGTCTTCATGTCATTTTAACCTTAACCCATATAGATGGTCAACTCTATAGGATTCTCTATGCCATAAGGGTACCATACTTTTATGTAACCTCAAGACATACTTGTGCAATGCATGAAATGCATCCCATACTCCCCTTCACACTATGCATAGCCTTAAAGTCATCCTAGTCATATTCACCCTACTTTGACCTCATTATTAGCTTAATTCTTATAACTAAGGGAGTCTCTCACCTTTAGTCAACTGTAACTAGAAAAGGCAACTCTAGCCCAATTTTATCTCAAGACTTCTCTTTAGTGACCCTAAGTCATACTTGCGCAATGCATGCATAGTACCCCATAATACTATACATGCTAAGTACTAACTTTAGGTCCTCTTGCTAATTCTTCTTGGTTTGGAACCTAGTTCCTCTCTTGAACTTTAGAACACTATAAGGTACTCTCTTAGTACATCTTAGTTTATTATTAGGTTGAACCCTATGAGATACTACTTTAAGCATGTCTAAGTCCACTATTACTCTTGAACACTATGAAGTACTTCATTAAGTAAGTCTTAGTTCAATTATGCTTTAGAACACAATGAGATACTTCTCAAACATATCTTAGTTCATAGGATACCGAGATTGCTACTAAGAACCTTAACTTAATTATGTGAAGGTTCCCATCTCATGAGACCTAACTTTTGGAGAACCCACACTCTACTATGTAAGAGTTCCCCATTTTTACTTGGATAGTCCTCATATCAACTTGGTCTGTCTCTCCTTTTTTCTTGGAGTTTGGACCCTATCTTGGGTGACACTTCATCTCATTGTCAATATCCACTTGGAGCCAAGCATACACCCCAAGGTTTACTTTTTAAGACCTGCTTAACACTCGTCTTTCAAGGAAGGATGTCCTTGACAATCCATCCTTTCCCAAGTGATTCTATTACTTTCATCTGTCAAGTATTTATAAGGTCGGTTAGGTGAATATAGGCCATACACCACAGTTCAACGTATTATATTTCTATTCTATTTTCGACTTTACTCTTAAAGCCTTAGCAACAGTAGGTAATCACAATAACTTAACCATAAAGCCCTAGCTATTAGGATCACTACCATACTCTCAAGGTTTCTTTCTTAATTTCTTCTTTATACCTAGATTTCAAGCTATTTTTATCACATTCTTCATTACTAGGTGATTCTAGTCTTAGTTGATCATAAAGGTTCAATTCTAACTTTACAAGTCAAGATCAACCATATACAAAAGTATCTAGTTCAATACATGATTACATGGTCCTAACTCTTGATCAATTACAACACACAATATTGAATTAGGAAGATCACATATGAACCTTCAACTTTACCTCTAATGGCATAAACCAACAAGGATCACATTCATCAACTTAGATTAGGGTTCATTATAGAAATCACATGAATTAATCATAATATCATTAAACAAATAAAATTCAATCATAATTGGATGCTATCCACTAGATTGGAGTGACACCTAAGCCCTACCCACAATGTAATCACAACCCTAGCTAGAATTAGGTTTTTGAGTTCACAATTGGGGGGAATATATGGGGGATCCATTGGTGGAAGAACTTATGGATGAATAAGCTTCACATACCTTCAATCAAACCCCAAAACAAAGGTTGAAACCAATGGAGAATCAGCCTAGATGGTGCCCTTCTTCTCTTCTCTTCTTCTTCTTCTTCTATTCTAGAGAGAGGATTTCTCGGAGAGTAATTTGGGGGTCTTTAGATGAATGAGTTAAAGTGATTAGTTTAGGGTCTATTAATTATTTATAAGAGGTACATTAACAAACTAATCGCCCCTCCTAACCCCTGAACTAATTACTAAACTAACCCCTAAACACTAACTTAAAAACTAAAACTGAAAAACTGGCAGCACCTATGACTTGACCATCTACGGACCATAGATTTATCTACTGTCCGTGGTTTGGGTCAGAGACTCATATTTTACAGGCCTGTGCATGCATGATCCACGCCCATGACCTATGGGGCGTAGGTTGATCTAAGGGGCGTGAATTGCAACCGTAGGTCACACTTTTTTACTGTTTTGGGGGACTGTTTTGGGGTCCTCCTCAAGGACCCATTTGGTGGTCCTTGGGGAGTCGTACCTGGACTTTTAACCCCTAAACATGTCATTCTAAGTACTGGAATCATTTATCTTCATTTTAACACTCATACAATACAACAAAACTCTACTACAAGACCTTACAACACACTAGTTCAACTCACTAGGTTAGCCTATAATTCACTAGATCAGTTATCTAATTTACGGGGTGTTATATTATCCCCCACTTGGGAACATTCGTCCTCGAATGACACTTTAAACACTTCATAAAGTCTAAAATCTAATATAGCAGCACATTATGCATGAATTACATCTAATGCACACTATCAAGGAAGAAAACTTAAATTCTGAGCTAAACACATTCATTGTGACACATGGGAGTGGAAACTACTTCTACCAACCCAAAATGCACTAAACTCCATATATATTCATTCTCAAGGAGGAACTAAAATCTCCTAGCTAAAACATGCTCAATACATACACATGGAGCCTACATGAAAAATTCATCTCATAAAGAATTTATCTATTGAGGAAATCTTTCAACTCAAAACTAGGGCATGCTTATAATTCAACTCATGAAGCCTATATGCAATTCTACTCAAATGCACTACCACATGAGGAAACAATGCATAAAAGTCATCTCTAACAAGACCTAGGCATTTTCATGAACATGCATGTAAGTAAATCATGGCAACACAAAAAGCACACAACAACCCTACTAGATCGGCACAATATCCCCCACTTGGGAGTGATCCTACTAAATCTTTCCAAACATCATATATGTTAAAATAACTTCAAAATCCAATCATAACAAGTCTTAAAAGACAAGAAATCTGGGAATTCACTAGAGCATGAAACACATACCGAAAGTGACATGAGGAGATCACTCTTGATCTTCTCTAGATTGGATAGCATAAAACCTATTCTTTTTTTGAGGCTCTTCATCAACACCACTAGAGTCAACTTTCTTACCCTCTCTTCCCTTAGCCTTAAGAACCGGGCAATCTCTCATCTTGTGCCCTTCCTTACCACACCCATAGCAACCATCCATGTAGGCTAGGCATTTACCCAAATGATTTCTCCCACAGTTGGTGCAACTAGGCTTAGGATATGGAGAGCCTTTGCCGGAATACCTTGGTTTAGTCGTAGTCCATTCTTCCCTATTGGACTTAGGATTAGGAAAGTTCCCATCATCGGATCTAGCTTTTTTCCCTTCCCTATTCACTTCTTTAAGTTTTATCTCCTTAATTTGTTGAGCATGCACCATTAGACGGGAAATATTCATACTAGGGATAAGTATTGCAGAACGATACTCATTGACCACTAATTCAGACACTCCCATCACAAACTTATTCATTTTGGCCCTTGAATCCTCCACTATGTTTGAAACATATTTGGATAGTTGGGTGAACTCAAGAGAATACTCCTTCACCCTCACACCCCCTTGCTTAAGATTTATGAATTCTTGTATTTTAAGCCCTTTACTTTAAGGGAAATAACCTATCATGTAATTCCTTTTTGAACTCTTCCCACTCTATTGGGCCATCTTCTATAGGTCTACTCTCCTTCCATTGCTCATGCCATATTTGTGCTACATCCATCAATTGGTATGCGGCTAGATCCGCTTTCTGTACCGAAGTCAAGCCCATGATGGCACGCACCTTATACACTTTTTTTTTACAAAAGCTTGAGGGTCTTCCTCCACCTTAGAGCCCTAGAACTCTGGAGGGTTCATCCTCAAAAACTCTCTCACCCTAGAAGAAGCCATCCGCATTATCGGGTTTGTCGGAGCCACCTCCTCTCTATTCGCTTGCGCGTCAATGCTTGAGCCAATAGTTACATAGAGGTCATAAACTCTTCAAGAGTGGCATTCACAATTGGAGGGTCATTTGAAACTTGAGGAGGAGCTTGATGTGGAACTTGGGGAGGAATCTCTTGATCCCCATTGTCTTCTCCTTCTCTCCTAGCATTAGCCCTAGTATTTGCCATAACCTGAAAAATCATAGGCAAACATTAGAAGAAGGACCTACTAGAGCTAAACTTCTATGGCACAACTAAGAGAATGAATAAGTGAGATTTTTCCTAAGCATCCAATTGGCTCCTATTCATAAAATGTTTCGCGACTCACACCTATTAATAAGACTCTACTTAGACGTGGTTTGAGACATCCTAAAATTTATCCCAAAATTTGGCTCTGATACCAAGTTTGTCTCGACTCGAGAGCACGCCCTAGTCGTAACATAGCATAGTTGACCCTGAAAGGCTCGCATAGAAGCCCTTAGCACATTCTTAGCATAAGATAATAGAAAATACGTGAAAAATTGAAAACTTTTACCATGAAAGTCCTATTTCATAAAGCAAGCGAAAGTCTTATTAAAACCTTTGTCTCAAACCATCTATTTAAAATAATGAATAAAAGTCTTTGGGACGCAATCCATACAAAGTCTAAAAAGTTAAAGAAATGACATAAGGAAATAAAGGGTTCGTCCTCGAAGCTACGAGGACTCACTAATTCTTCAGTTCTTTTAAATCTTTGAAACTCTACCCTCTAAAGCAACTCAAGCCTCCAACCCTACATTTGGTTAGAATGTAGGCAATATGCGTTAGTACAAAACGTACTAAGTATGAAAGCTAACACAACATCATAATAGTATCTCAAATGGTTTGTCAATATAAGACATAAGCATAAGAGACAACAACATAATCACAATATCATCATTATAGTCATAACATGCTCTCCAATATAAGTATCATATAAACACAAGTCACATAAGATGTATTTAATGAGCATATGAGATACATCATATTCATGGCCTAGTGTTTAATAAGACTTTCATGGTTACACACTTCAACCTTAAGTCTTTCATATTACAAGAGGACCACTTCACAAGCCACCTCCAAGTATACTTGTGCAATGCAAGGATAGCATCCCATACTACCATCCAAGCTAATTACCTACCTTTGGTCATTCTTGGGCATAGTCGACTTTCATACTCAAGACTTAGGTCTTCATGTCATTTTAACCTTAACCGATATACATGGTCTACTCTCTAAGCTTCTCTATGCCATAAAGGTACCATAGTTCTAAGTAACCTCAAGACACACTTGTGCAATGCATAAAAGGCATCCCATACTACCCTCCATGCACACTAAGCATAGCTAAAGTCATCCTAGTCATATTCACCCTAATTTGGCCTTATTATTAACTTAACTCTCATAACTAAGAGAGTCTTTCACCTTTAGTCAACTATAACTAGAAAAGGCAACTCTATCCCAATTCTATCTCAAGACTTCTCTTTAGTGACCCTAAGTCATACTTATGCAATGCTTGCACAACACCCCATAATACTATACATGCTAAGTACTACCTTTATGTCCGCATGCAAACTCTTCTTGGATTGGAACCTAGTTCCTCACTTTAACTTTAGAACACTATGAGATACTCTCTTAGCACATCTTAGTTCATTATTAGGTTGAACCCTATGAGATACTACTTTAAGCATGTCTAAGTCCACTATTACTCTTGAACACTATGAGGTACTTCATTAAGTAAGTCTTAGTTCAATTATGCTTTAGAACACTATGAGATACTTCTCAAGCGGAGATTGCTACTAAGAACCTTAACTCAACTATGTGAAGGTTCCTATCTTATGAGACCTAGCTTTGGGAAAACCCACACTCTACTATGTAAGAGTTCCCCCTTTTTACTTGGATAGTCCTCACATCAACTAGGTGTGGCTCTTCTTTCTTCTTGGAGTCCGGACCCTATCTTGTGTGACACTCCATCTCATTGTCAATATCCATTTGGAGCCAAGCATACACCCCAAGGTTTACTTGTTAAGCCTTGCTTAACACTCGTCTTTCATGGAAGGATGTCCTTGACAATTCATCCATGCCCAAGTGATTCTATTACTTTCATTTATCAAGCATTTATAAGGTAGGTTAGGTGAATATAGGCCTTACACCACAATTCAACCTATTAGATTTCTATTCTCTTCTCTAACAAGACCTAGGCATTTTCATGAACATGCTTGTAAAGAAATCATGGCAACACATAAAGCACACAACAACCCTACTAGATAGGCACATAATCCCCCACTTGGGAATGAGCCTACTAAAACTTTCTAAACATCATATATGTTAAAATAACTTCAAAATCCAATCATAACAAGTCACAAAAGACAAGAAATCTGGGAATTTTGCTAGAGAATGAAACACATACCGAAAGGGACATGAGGAGTTCACTCTTGATCTTCTCCAGATTGGAAAGCATAAAATCTATTCTTCTTTTGAGGCTTTTCATCAACACCACTAGAGTCAACTTTCTTACCCTCTCTTCCCTTAGCCTTAAGAACCGGGCAATCTCTCATCTGGTGCCCTTCTTTACCATACCCATAGCAACCATCCATGCCGGCAAGGCATTTACCAAAATGATTTCTCCCACACTTGGTTCAATTAGGCTTAGGATATGGAGAGTCTTAGCTGGAATACCTTGGTTTAGTCTTAGGCCTTCCTTGCCCATTGGACTTAGGATTAGGAAAGTTCCCATCATCGGATCTAGCTTTTTTCCTCTCCTTATTCACTACCTTAAGTTTTTTCTCTTCAATTTATTAAACATGCACCATGAGAAAGGAAATAATCATACTAGGGATAAGCAATGCCGAACGACATTCATTGACCACTAATTCAGATTCTCCCATCACAAACTTATTCATTTTGGCCCTTGAATCCCCATTATGGTTGAAGCATATTTGGATAGTTAGGTTAACTTAAGTGAATACTCATTCACACTCATATCCCCTTGCTTAAAATTTATGAATTCTTGCATTTTTAGCCCTCAACTTTAGGGGAAAGAAGCTATCAAGGAATTTCCTTTTGAACTCTTCCCACTCTATTGGGCCATCTCCTATAGGTCTACTATCCTTCCATTTCTCATGCCATATTTGTGCTACATCCATCAATTGGTATGCACCTAGATCCGCTTTCTGTACCGAAGTCAAGTCCATGATGGCAATCACCTTATACACCTCATCTACTAAACCTTGAGGGAATTCCTCCACCTAGCAGCCATAGAACTCAGGAGGGTTCATCATTAAAAACTCTCTCACCCTAGAAAAAGCCATCCCCCTTATCGGGCTTGCTGGAGCCACCACCTCTTTATTGGTTTGCGCCGTCAAGGCTTGAGCCAATAGTTGCATAGAAGTCCTACACTCTTCAAGAGTGGCATTTTCAATTGGTGGGTCATTTGGAACTTGAGAAAGAGCTTAATGTGGAACTTGGGGAGGAATCTCTTGATCCCCATTGTATTTTCCTTCTCTCCTAGCATTGGCCCTAGTATTTGCCATAACTTGAAAAATCATAGGCAAACATTAGAAGAAGGACCTACTAGAGCTAAACTTCTATGGCACAACTAAGAGAATGAAGAAGTAAGATTTTTCCTAAGCATCCAATAGCCTCCTATTCATAAAATGTGTCGCGACTCACACTAATGAATAAGACTCTACTTAGACGTGATTTGAGACATCCTAAAATTTATCCCAAAACCTGGCTCTGATACCAAGTTTATCACGACCCGAGAGCACCCCCTAGTCGTAACATAGCGTAGTTGACCCTGAAGGGGTCGAATACAAGCCCTTAGCACATTCTTAATATAAGATAATAGAAAATAAAGGAAATATTGAAAACTTTTACAATCAAAGTCTTATTTCATAAAGCATGCGGAAGTCTTACTAAAACCATTGTCTCAAACCATCTATTTAAAATCGTGAATAAAAGTCTTTTGGACGAAACCCATACAAAGTCTAAAAGATAAATAAATGACATAAGGAAATAAATGGTTCGTCCTCGAAGCTATGAGGACTCACCAATTCTTCAATTCTTCTAAATCCTTGAAACTCTAGCCTCCAAAGCAACTCAAGCCTCCAACCCTACATTTGGTTAGAATGTAGGCAATATGCATTAGTACAAAACATACTAAGTATGAAAGCTAACACATCATAAGAGCATCTCAAATGGTTTGTCAACCTAAGACATAAGCATAAGACACAATAACATAATCACAATATCATCTTTATAGTCATAGCATGGTCTCCAATATAAGCTTCATATAAATACAAGTCACCTAAGATATATTTAATGAGCATAAGAGATACATCATATTCATGGCCTAGTCTTTAATAAAACTTTCATGGTTACACAATTCAACCTTAAGTCCTTCATATTACAAGAGCACTACTTCACAAGCCACCTCCAAGTATACTTGTGCAATGCAAGGATAGCATCCCATACTACCATCCAAGCTAAGTACCTCCCTTTGGTCATTCTTTGGCATAGTCTACCTTCATACACAAGACTTAG